TGACAGAAAGTCCATCTGGGCATGGCCAACATAAATAAATGAAACACGGACCACCCGCTGATGTGTTGGCTGCCAACGCATCGATGCGGACGAACAAGCATCCCCGCCAATGGACATCTCGCATTAAAAACACATTGTACATGATTATATAAAAGCCGGAAAAATAATTCCGTTGTAAATCATTGCGATATCATTATTGGCTAAACCGTACATTACATAGAAGGGTGATCTATACTGCTGTACGGAATACACTTTCATGTCTCGCATATTATTCTAGACAAATCAAATCAAGTGGCATTAGTCGTACACAAAATATCTAGATCAGTTTTGTAGGTCCTTCCTTGCAGACAGGCCAGATCCGGAGTTGCTCAAAACCCTTTGAAGCGCCCAAGGTAGCGCAGTAACGCCCGTAAACATCAAAAACAAAAACCAACGGGTGAAATGCGACAAAGATAGGGATCATTTGCAACGCTTCTCCACAATGTTGGGCCCATGCTCTTCGTACTCCTTCTTGGAGATCCACATCTGGTGGAAAGTTCCCAAACTGGCCAAGATACTTCCTCCAATCCAGGAGCCGAAGCGGCGCTCAGAGGTGTTACCGGGAGCAGTGACACGCACTCTGGGGCCAGGGAACATCTGCATCAGTTCATGGTTCAGACGATCAGTGAAGCCATAAAGCAAGCTGGATCCACCGGTCACAACGACATTAGCCAGCAAGTGGGGCCGGAGGTCGACGTCAACACCGGCCAAAGAAGCCTTGACAAGTTCTGGAATAGTCTGGGCGGGTGTCGGGGGAGGGAAAGATGAGTCAGGGTCTGGGATGGCAGCTTTGGCATCGAACAGAGATTCCACCGCGCGGAAACGGTCGACACCGAAGACTTGGTTGTACCCATCGGGGAACTCGAATGGGCGACCGGGAGTAGTTCGAGCCATATCTTCGTTGGAGACGCCCGTGGGACTGGGGGCTGAGAGCCTTGTAGGCCCAGGCCAAACCTGGACAACACATTCCTTGAACTCGGACAGTGTGCGCTCCTCGAGGAGAGCACGGTACGAGGCATCGGGTGCCTTGTCCACGGGGAAGGTCTTGTATTTAGCTTGGGGCGGTTGACCGGCTTCGACGGCCGTCTTCGAGCTGATAAGGTAATGCGGCGTGATAGTGATGGGTTGTGGGGAGTTGCCCTTGAAGATTGCCCTGATCTGCGACGAGATGTATTCACCGCCCAACGGAGAGTGCTGCACGCCCCGTTTCAGGATCATGCCATCGTGGATCGGGGTAACAGAGATGTTGGAAGCTCCAATGTCAATAACAAGGGCGGAGGCCTTGCCGGAAGCGAAACTGCGCATGGAATCGGGTCAGCAAATGGTAGGCGTATCATAGTCAGTGGGCCTAGTATACGTACGCAGCAAGAACACCACTGCGCGCGAGATAGAAGGCCGGGGTATCCCATTTCTCCATTGCGATTTCAATGGTCTTTTCGCGTGCCTTCGCCGGGTTCCATCCAGGCTCTGTCATCAACAACGGGCTGTCCGACAAAGGCTTCTCCTCTGACTCCACCTCCATTTCCGTAGGGAGCTCGTCTGGGGAAACGTCGTTTAATCCGTTCTGGAAGGGGTTGCCAGCTTTCGTGCCGGTTAGTCGCGACGTAAATGAGTGCTCCCACACTCTCTCTGCCATATCCCAATCCTCGACGATTCCATCCTTGCCAATCGGGTTGTGGATGGACAGACCGGGGCGTGGGGTAACGAATACGTCGTCGCCAAATACGAGCTTCTCTTGGCCGTCGGCGTTGTATTTTCCATAGTAGGTTGGGATCAGTGACTTGGGAGCATCTTCACCAGCAAAGCCCGCGCGAGTGGTTGAGTATCCCGGGTCTAGGACAATAGCCGACACCTCATCTATACTCGTCCGATAATTAGTATCTTGCGCATTAAATAGCGGCTAGATGTTCTTTGGGATTGTAATAGCAGGCGCAATTGGGATGGCAGATCTGGGACCACATACCTCCACCATACTCGGCAGCTTGAGGTGGGTTGGAAGGGTTCATCACGAACGTTGTGCGGGTATATCTAGGATAAGGGTCGTAGCTGTCACAAGGATCATGTGAATGTTTCGAATTAAGTCGCCTGAAAAAAAAAAATCAAGACGTGACCATGCGTATCGGACGGACAATCAGAGGGGCTGGTTGGAGGCAGGAGAAGGGCGGGTCTTTTTGGTGCGGGTGTAGCTTTGGCTTTGGCACCCAAACGGGCAGTTCAAGATCAGACTTAGTCATCCTAAGGGAACAGTTCTGCTGACTAAGGTAGAGCTTTCGGCCCCGGGGACAGGACATTCTATGGATTATACATGGTCTCCTGAAGCCCAGATCCTTTTTATGGTTGAATATTGGAGATATACAGAGTATTCTAAATAAATGTGCCATACGGGAAAGCCATATAAGCAAGTAAAGGTAAACTGATGAGATATCATCCGTCATGATGCAAAATGATCTTAGGTATACCGGACAAGATACAAGATGTACCCAACGACAACATTGGAGATATCACTTCTTTTTCCCTTTTTTTCTTATATTTATTTTTCACGTCTTGGTGCCTTATGTTTTACATATGTAATTGAACGTTTGCACAAAAATAACTATTCAGCTTATTGGAATTTCTACAACAATCATCTAGCATATCTGTAGATATATGTAACAAAAATAGTCGGCAGGTTAGGCGGCCTCTGTCCTTGACAAGATAAAATCTTGATAGAATATCCACCTGGTTTGAAATGATCCTGTAGACCTTGTGCGTAATGTCTTTATTCCGTCTTAGTGATTGGAGCGAGAAGGATAGAGATAATTGGCCGCAAATTGTAGATCACCCGCGGGTAAAATCAGCTTGTGACTCGGTAGCCTTGAAAAGCAGGTCAGAAATAGCATTGGCGCAAAGTCATTATGGTATCGTATGCATATCGAGTGAAAACACATGTCTCAGAGGACCAAGTACATAAAAGTACATATCAAAGGAAGCCAGCCGTTTCGGATGAGAATAACAATCATTTCTTCCCGGCCTGTGCTTCTTTTTCCCGCATTGCAGCTCTTGCGCTGCGACTCCCCCCAAGCTTCGGACCCCGAGGCGCTTCGACATTAGCCACCGGTTTTGCTGCAGGCCGATTTCGACGCCGAGACTGCATCGCATCCATAAAGTCTCGCCTGAATTGCTCAGCGACTCGGTCATCAGCAGCCTGTTGGTCATCCACCTGGTTTTCCTCCTCATGTTCATCATAAATTTCCACTATAACGCTAGTGTTAGCAAAGACACAGATCGTGTAAGATTTCACATTGGAATGCCACGCACATTTGCTCTCACGTAGTACCTCCTCCACAAGACGATCTCTTGCGATGTCTGCATCTGTCCTCTGCTTGCGATTGCGCCATGACTTGCCGTCTGGACCCGTCCCTGAAGTAGCATGATCAACTGATGTCGGCAATTCTCCCTTCTCGGCCATTTGCCGAGTCACAGCTTCTGTCCGTGCAATGTTTCGCAATGTGGCTTCTTGGCCGAGGTCGATTTCGTGGAGCTTTCCTAGCGATGCAGGTTCGCGAGTCTGGTGTCCAGATACCGACAGCCCCCCGGCAGCTTCCTCTTGCGTTGCTTGGTTGGGACCTGAATTATCCGGCCTTGATTCAGGTTGGTAGCGCTTAGCCATCTCGGAATCTATGAATGCCATCCTTATCTCGTTAGCCCACATCAAACGAACGCGACGATCAATTGTAGGAAAGGATCTGTACATGTGCTTGTCAACATCCACCGTCTGACCGGTATATCCTGTGAAACGTTCATTCATTGCTCGTATCTTCTCGTCCTCAGTTTCTCCAACTGCTGGTACTAGCGCTAGTTGCTGGCCTTGACCATCTCCTAGTCGTGACGCGGTAGAAAACCCAATGCCACCTTTTCGAACTGCCCGTGGACGCCGAATATTATTGCTCCCTGGAGGTTGTGACGCGCCAGGGCTGTCATTTTGATCATCAGCCTCTTCGGTGTCTGGGGTCTCATAATCGGGACGTCTTCGCATGAACTTGCGCTTTTTTGCTGGGCGAAACAGGAAATCGGTCGGCACAATATCTTCTTGATGGTCCATTGTGATTTGCGACAACGTGAACGCGGGTCGTAGGGAAAAGGCGAACGGGAAATTAATTGTCAAGTTGAGGTCATTCAGCAGTAGACAGACTATAATTCGCTGATCCCCGACCGCCCTTCTTTTCTGCCTAGTTTATCGGCCTTACGGAGACACGTGAAAATGAAAGTGTAGGACCTATCCTCCCCTGTTCGGTTAAATTAGCTCTAAATTCGAATATCGTATCAGGATACCAATCTGGAATGACCTAAGTTATTTTTAGCAGTTTCAAAAGCAGACATCACGTTTCGGCGGTTTATACAGAACGTCAAGCGAAATTATATACATCTACATACCGTCTTTCTAACTTTTCGCTGCTCCAACTAAATCGATCATTATAAGTGCTCTTACTGTATTCTCACAACCTTCAAAGTTCAAAGTTAGTAAGATAATCAAATGTGGAATATGATGAAACTTACCAGGGTGACCAAACTGTCATCACCTTGCTTTGCCACTGAGCTCCCACCACATACCACCACCAAGACCAAGACCCGTGGGCCTGACGTACTCACCCTTCCGACGCGCAATCTCAGGGGTATCATAGCTGATGAACAAACGTGGGCCCGAATTGTAGCAGAAGCTAGTAGCTTCCTGGCCCAGACTTTTGACCGCAAAGCCAGGTTAAGGCAGAGCGTTGTAGTCACACACACCGTTCTCCCAGCTACCAACACCAACACCGTTGTAGGCTGGCCAGGACCGCTGGTGTCGGTGAACGTTGTCTTCCCATCCCCATTTGCTGTTGCTTGCTTGCCCACGCTGCCATCAACTCTATCAAAGTGCCTAAACCATCGTTTTGTTTTTCCCACCAAGGTCATCCGGTAGTAGGTTATTGAAGTTTCGCTGCGCTGGATGTTTGCCATGGGCCCCCAGATTATGAGAACAGTGGTCGAAGTGGCGCATGTGGTATTGTGAATATATTTTGGAAGATGCTAGTGATCCACTGAGTCGCTTTCCCATTCGTCACCACCATGCTTCGAGTGTGACACGTATTGAGGCCTGCAATACCGTAGCTCAACTCTGGGTTCCTCGGATTGAATCTTCACGTTGACCAAGTAGGCCCGAGCAGCTTCAGGAACGATGTCCCCCGGCTTCACTCTAGTTGACTCTGTAGTCATCCCCTGTTCGCTTGTGCATTATAGAACACATGTCACGACGAACCTGCCAATCGCGACATTTGGCCGCAGACCACAAGAGCGCGGGCAAAATAGAGTACCTGCAATTGAACGGCGAAGATTCGATATCACTTGAGCCCGAATCCGAGCCTACTAGAATTTGTACAAGTTTTGTGATATGCTGGAACTGCTCCAGGTGAGCATCGTAAGCCATCTCATCTGGCTTTGGGCTTTCCGCGACAGCCAGCTTGATCTCGATGATATCGATCCACAATGAGAAGACTTCAAGTGAATCGCAGTCAACTGGTGCGAGACCATCCAATTCGACGAGGACGGCCATGAGACGACTTGTACAGAGCCGAAGCTTGGTCGAGACTACTGTCGCGCCGCCGCCGGTGGAGCTTGTTGGTCCAATATCAAACCCGCAGGTAGTGCAATTTAGTACCGAACCCGAGACGAGGGTTGAAAATTCTTGGACAAAATCCATCTGATCAATACCAGAATAGAGATGCGGGTTAACCTTCGATAGAGCGGCTGTAGAGTTCTGGGATATCCGACACTCGCCATGGAGTAGTTCGGCATCCTCGACAAATAACTCGGAATTAGAGCAGAAGAACCAATGGATGTGCATCTGGGCAAAACCCTGTCTCAGGGCCAGGCCAGTAGCACCTTTATCTTCCTGAACATCCCATTCTTTCAGAAGTTTATAACCGGAGGTAAGGTGGTAGCGAGCAGAATAGAGATCTCCCTGGAATAGAGCAAGCAGGGTAAAAATCAAACATGTGACTAGCACTACTTGCTTGTGGGTGCGGTTTGAGCTGTGCGGAGTTAGAATTTCCCGAGCGAGACTTTCTCGGAGGCAAGCCATGGCTTTTGTAGAATGATGAAGAGCCAGAACGGGATCCCGATCTTCTATATGGCTCGTTGAAATTCGTTCCAACTGGGTATGCCATGCACTTATAACAATCGTAGCATGACGTACAGCAGGGTAATTTTCGCACAGTTGGAAAATCAATCCGTACCAGAATGAGTTTTGGAAGTAATGCGAAAATCGTACCGCTGTGCGATTGTGGTAGAAATCCAGATGCCATCGCTCGTTCCAGTTAAGGTCGATCTGGCAGGCACTGGCCAAAGGCAGAGGAACAGCAGTAACCGATGACCGAACTTTCGAGCGATATCGGATTTGCAGAGCTACATCGTTCTGATTATTGGCAGAGTCTCTGGCTTTGGAGTCACTCCACTCGCGCGTCCTCTTATCGACGGCTTGTTCATAACCATCACATTCCCTGCCTGTGCTCGTACGTCTGAGACAAGCGGGATGCGTCTCGTCACATTTCTTATGTCGTATCCTACAGCGTTTAGTTGGAGCGTGAGTACACATATTCGGGGACTCACTTGCACGTTCTACATCCTGAGCGAGATTTTGAGTGGTATGGTCTTATTTTTCGCGGTAAGTGTTCGCCATACATTCTGCTTGCAAACAACGGTAGGATATATCAAATCCATCTGGACATCATCTAACTCCTCGGTTGGAGCTGGTCCAGGATTTCGAGCGATGAGGACGCATTCAGGATTAGCGGTATAGAAGGACACAGCTGAGCACAGCCCGTCGTTCTACGTGGATTTCTGAGCATTGTGTTGGTGGGTCGTTCTGGCTAGTGGACCCTCCCTTCCCTACCGTGGACGAACTCCTTGCGACTTTCTCTCCTTGCAATCAACATGGAGGGAAAGACTTAGGGAATTCAGTATGCAGGATTAGCGAGGCTCAGTAGCCCTGCTGATGTCGTGACAAAAATGCCTGTCGTCTCATAGGTACACCTGCTCGTTTTCCACCTGTCGTGATCTTCATTGCTCTATCAATTACTCTCTAGGACTGGCGGATTTGCTACTACTATTGTGACTGCGCCTCTTGATGTCTCGAGAACCCGTCTTCAGTCTGACTTCTATCAAACATTATTCCGCATATGAAGCAGTTCTGGCCGTAGTTCATTTTTTTTTTTTTGCTTCAGCAACGCCCATAAGTTCTC